ATGGCCTCAACCAAGCGTTTTTATTACTTGTGGTATAAATAGCTTGGTTTATTTAGAGGTTTTCCGCGCTTCAAAGCGTGTTGACTGTAGGRAAATCACTGCCATGCAGTCCAAACCCAACCATGCTTTGCAGGATCAGAYTCGCGATCAAATGGTCGGTTACGAGGTGTCACYATAGTCCTTTYAAAACCCTCCAGTAATGACTGCATACTTTGTAATACTTCGGGTTGTTCGTCTGMTAGATTCACGTATTCACATGGGTCAGTTTCTATGTCAAATAAGCAAGGTCCATGCTCCCTAGTGCAGTTAACGGTTGCTTTAGGAGGCTTGGTGCATGTGACGACAGCATTGCGTAGCGTTTTTGGATTAGTGGGTTGGGTACCTGGAGGGGGATACCATCCATTCCACCACAAAGCTACGTAAAATATATATACAAGGTTAATAYCGTCTTAATGACCGTTTACACTTGTGATTTTTGCGATAATCGCCACTTTAATATCGTTCAACTAAAATCGTACATATTAACAGCCCTGCGATTGTTGCAGCGTTGGAAAATCGCCGCGAAGTTGCAGCCGATTTTCAAGAATGCACGAAATTCAGACGATGGTCCCGCGACGATCGCCGCAAGAATCGTTCTGCAACTAAATGAACGCAAGTGTAAACGCGGGGCCTTTAGAAGCCATTGCAGAAGATAGYAGTAATAGCAATTCTGGCACAACGATGATGAGTCTGGTGATCGTACACTGTCACTGTACAATGGGACATTTTTTGCAGGCTATTTTAAAAAAACATAGCGTGTTTCCAATAACAATTCATATCCATACTAATACAGTTTTTGCTAGTTGTCACTCTAAAAGTATCAAACGAAGGGGTAAGGGGAAAAGGAGAAGAGAGTCTTGACTCACATTCATTGACCACAAGCTTCCACTTCCCTCTACGATACGCAGCAGCTCCGGTTACAGGGTCGATATTCAATAAAATATCATCTCTAGGAGATTGCGCATCACTAGAAATAGTGTCCCACATGTCATAGCCATCGAGRTTTGCTAGATCACTAGTATTACCACCCCCACGGGCATACAATGTAGGGAACCAATCACAAATGTGCAGAAGTCTGGTGCTCACTCGKCCTGGGTTGGTGATGAGGGGACTGTGAACAAATGCTGCACCACGAACTCCACCTGTTGAAATAGTAAAATTTGTGATCATGACAGGTAATGGACCTTACTAAATCATGCTGCATTGTGGTCTAGCTTCAGTAGAACAATACCATATTTGGCCGGAGAAACAAAAGATGTTTGTACCGAATCTCGACAACTATGCACTGGGCTATGCTGTTTCAAAAAAGGCCAAAAGTTTGCCATAACGATAGTAATCAATAAACTAGTTATTTCTAATAGAAAATGAATGTTGCTAGTGGGAAAACGCTTTTTTGAGAAACATTTTGAACACTGGTGCAGGAAATTAGGGTCAAACTACATGAGTTTCAGATCAGTGTGTTTCGAATTGAAGGCAATAAAAAACCATAGTGATGTCACAATCAGATCAGTTAATTTGTTTTCATTATTTTACCATCATAAAGCGAATTATCAACCAACCTTCCCACAGTTGTTTCACCTACGTTTTTAYTGTKCTTTTAGAAAAACCGACGCAGYTAACACTATTTTACCGCTAGTTTACCTTCCCACAGCGTGCTCTTGACACCTCTCAGAGGGTAGTTATTAGCATAGTTCATGTTGAAGCCATTAGCAGCCCCACCGTTATCAGTAGTGAAGATAAGGATAGTGTTATTGTACATGTTTTTGTCTTTGAGCGCATCTACAACCTGTACAAAATCATGGCAATAGGCATGGTACTTAACAGGTACTGTATGTAAGCGATTCAAGTCTCATCGTTTTCAATCTCTCAATGAAAAATAAGATCAGATAAAAACGAGGAATTTATCGAAAAAAAACTCCAAAGCCATCAAACATGATTTGTAGAATTTGCGTACAGGACTTATGAATAGGCTACTTTCACGATGACGTCATATACTACTAGACCAGAATGCTTTCGCACTTTTTTACTGTCGTGCAATTAATCCCAAACATAATGACTAATTCATGTTTTCTTTGTAATTCAGAATTTTAATCCCTTTGGAGATTAGTAGAACGAAAGAAGTAGGAGCACTCTGGTCTTGGTAGGTGACGCCATTGAGATAAGGCTTGTGCGCTGTATGGCCCTGTATGCCATTGAGATAAGGCTTGTGCGCTGTATGGCCCTGTATGCATGTGTCAAAGACGGATCAAAGAAATGAGCATTGTCTCACTTCCCCTTGACAACTCCTACCTGACCGGTTCAGATATAATATGGTGTCAGATTGTTATATCAGAACAATCTATATAACAAAGTATGCCTGTTTGTTCTTTTAGGACACTGCTAACTTCATCTCTCTCATCTCTCATTTACCGGCTGGGAGGACCATCATAGGAAAACACTGCCCGAGGTCTGGACAGTATTTTTGTTGACATCGGGCAGTGTTTTCCTATATGGATTGACCTATAGCCGGCAAATAACATTTTTATTATATTTTTTTATATTGAATGACTAGGATACCGGACCCCCCCAAAAAAAACAAAAACAAACAAGGTTGGTTATACCTTTTTTACTGATTGGTCAAGTGCTGTAACCATGGCAGCAAAGATTCTCCTTTGTTCAAGTTGGATATCTGCAAATCTGTCAATTAAATCTTTGGGTGCTTGTAATGGTTCATATGTATTTGCGCTGTGGACTGCTTGATGAGCAAGGTATAAAAACAATGGCTTTGACGTGTTATGTGATTTGATGACATCAATGGCTTTGTCTGTGTACAAATATGTACTGTAATTACCAAACTCTGACCACACACTCTAGAAAGAAAGATTGGTTGAGCTTTGATTACATTGCAGATCATATACAGCCTGCATACAAAGGGAAGGTGAAGCAGAAGGCCAGGGAAAAATATTGCTTCCAATTTTTCACCAATAAAATAAAACTGTACACGCTTCTCCACAAGAGATCACACAAAAGTCATGATATTTTTATGGGGTTCAATAAGAAAAAAGGAAAAYCAATCCCATCCAAAAGGAACTAGTGTTACCCATAACTAATATAATATGAGACTGCTTAAGAAAATCAGGGAAAAAAACCCACACACACACAAAAAAAAAACAGTTACCTCAGATTTGAAAACAAAGAAGTTCATCACTATTTTTTCCTTCAGTCCAAGCTGTAATCTATGGAATATGGGGACCCTACTTGGACCAAACCCTAGTATAGTATGGGTGAAAAAAACTTATGTTGGACCCTCACCTTTTCATCATCATGCAGATCTAAACCGTTATTCCCAAAAGCAAAATTGGTATGATTCCAGTAGTCTCCTTTTCCAGTCCAGTAACCATAGTAACTGTCAAAGCCACGGCGTTGTGGTGTATATGCCAGTTTATAAAATCCCAAGTGCCACTGAAAATCCAACCAAACATGAATCAAATTCAAGTCAACCTGGAGAGATATTTTAGTCTCCTCACAGCTGTACCATGTATTTAGTTTCGGTCAAGCATAACACAATCTCTGTAGAGAGGTTTGCGTTACATGTGACCAAAACTAAATACGGCTGCGAACATAACACAATCTCTGTAGATAGGTTGCATTACATGTGACCAAAACTAAATACGGCTGCGAAGAGACTACAGATCTTTGTGATAGTTGAAAAACCTCATTAGAATTCCAAAAATCATCATTATCACTGCCATGTTTATTTTACACATTACAATAAATGAATACCTTTCCAACACCATGTGTAGCATAACCTAATTTCTTGAGATATTCTGGTAGTAATGTTTCATTGAGTCCCAGTCCATATGGTGCAGGTGCTAGTATAACACCACTTTGCAATCCTGTCAATGGGCAATGACAATGGTATTTGCGTACCTCATTAAACACCATAAATGATGATAGGGGAGGGTTAGGGTTACTCCCTTATACTTACCAAAAAGAGTATTTGCAAAAAAAAAACAACAACAACAAACAAACAAACAAACAAAAACCTCAAATAAGCACTGACAGGCACAATGATGCTACAAGTACTTAGGTTACTCACCAGTATGTATTGGGTATTTGCCTGTCATTATTGCACTGCGTGATGGTGTACATATTGGTTGTACATAATAGTTATTTAGTATGACACCACTGTTAGCCAGGTCATCAATGTGTGGTGTGGGAATTTGATTYGAACCATGAAAACTCACATCATTCCAACCCTACAATTGAAAAACAGTTAATGAATCAAGTCCATTATCATTAATAAAAATAATGGTACATACATTGCTCAAGAGGACATTATTCACTCTTACGGTGCTTATTCTAGTCAGTACAGAGCATCCATGGTGTATTTTACATGTGATGACTGTTAATTTATAGTAATAATATATCAATTACATGGCACACCACTGATGAATAAAACATCAGCATTATAAAAGGATTGTCAATCACACGTCCTAACAGGGAGAACCCTGATTGGACTAAAAGCTCATAAATTATCAATCTATAACACTTCTACTTACAAGATCATCTGCCAAGATAAATACAATATTTGGCTGAGCACCAAGTGAAACATCAACAATGATGAGGAATACCAGATAAAAGAGRACATCCATAGCTGTGCTTTATTATGGCATCTATAATAGAAAATCCCAATATTTATTAATGACAATTAGACAGGGGAATTAACATTGTAATCAAAGGAAATTATCATTTTAAACTTTATACACAAAAAATGATGGTAGTTTACGGCTGCCATTATTGTGGACTAGTGATGAATCATGGAAACAAAACCTCAAAGCCCTTCCATCTAGAAATCACTATGAAGATCACTTGTATGTAGTGTCCAAAAGTTTGATGTAAAAGATGTATTGGATGTAATTTATAACAAAACACTCTTGCAAGACACCATGAAAGCTTACTGTATGCAGGAGACTGGCTTTTGAGACCTTGTATTAGTGCTTTGTCCCAGTTTCTTGGCGGACATCCTTGAAATATTGCTCCATTTTTGAAAGTTTTGAATGAGCTTCATTTTTTAGCCACTAAGGGAAAATGCATGGACTTAAACATTGTTGAAATGTTAATTCCCTTGCACCGGGGGTGGAGTGGGKGATTACAATAGACTTCTTCGTTGTTCACTGCGCCATCTTGAAAGGTAGCCGTGCCTTTGCATCGATGCGAGACGCCCATTGAGCATGCAATGATACAAATCTTCTTTCACACCTACAGACAATTATTCACAGGTATCTGTCTTTGCACGCCCAATGGTTGTCTGGCTTCGATGTAAAGGCAATAATACCTTTCAAGATGGCGCAGGTAACCATGAAGGAGACTATTGACTGAGGCATAGCTGCTTTATCCAATGGGCACACCACTTATCTGTTTGTGCACCACTCCCCTTAACTCACATTGAACCATCAAATTATAGTCTCCTTTGCACGCATTTTTACTCGTGACCAGGCCCTGGTCACGAGGGGGGGGGACTCCCTAATATCAAAGGGTGGGGGTCCTCGGCGTCCCTTTTAGGGTTTGGAATCGGTATTTTGGTCCCACTTAGGGTCATAATGACAGGAATTTCCCCCAACTGAGTTTTGTGGTCCCTTTTAGGGTATATGACATCCCTAAGCTGTCATATTTCCTATGAAAGGTAGGTGCTGCATTCAACTATACAAAATGACCTGTTATTCACAGATGAGTATTCCTAGATGAAGATCATTGAAGCGATCATGCATGGTTATAGAGCGGGCCCTTCCTGCTTTGCAAAGATCGCTCGCCACACGACGCCGAGCTGTCTGATTTTGATACTGGTATTCTTACTATGTTTCACGTGAAAGACTATCAGAGTGAACGATTTGATTCTACCCAAAATTTGTCAAAAATTATTGTATATCTAGTTCCTTCAAAAGCTGCTAAATATTACATGAAAAGTAATCAACAAGGAATTACTAATTCACAAATGTTTTCTCTTAATATAGTTTGATCTCAAATCACTTTGTGATTTATCAGTATAGATGAACTGCATGCCTTTGGTAGCACTATTCTTTACATCTAAACCAGACCCTCCTTAGAGCGTCAACTCGGTCGAACTATTTTTGAAAATTGAGAAAGACAGTATATTACATGGTTGGTCAAACACAAGAAAAGTTTTAAATGAGCTCATTTTGAAAAAGTACTGAATAAGACAGCACTTTTCAACACCTTTAGGGCACGAGTACACCCTGCTGTCAGGGTCTAGTCTGATTCAGGATCCCTGTTGCGATCTACTCAAAGTAATTATAATCATAATAGTTAAAGAGATATTGCGTACAAATATAATATTAGTATTAAGCAATTTTGGTCTTATTTCAGACTCCTGGGGGTTGACTTTTTTGCTTGACACTCATCTAGATTTGTATTTTCTCGTCGAATTAGCGTTGATAGAAAACAAAACAACTTAAGTTAACTTAACCGAATAACGGCCGAGGTGAACTTTTAATCATCAAAGGAAATCAAAATATTTTGTTCAACAAACCAAACCAAATTTCTTCTTGATAACTTAACTCACCTTTGGTCACTGTTTGGTCTGCACAACTCTCTTTTTTTTGAGCATCGAAGATCTATTCCTGTGGAGAGCTTGTTCCCACTCCCGAGTCACACATTCCGACTGTAGTTGCATCATCGTGAGATCATGGATTATGTGTAAAYAAGTGGGCCCTTTTGACATTTTTCTCCTCGGAGATTACTCAATACCCTCGTAGAGTAAATTGCCTCTGCCAGATTTTTCAATAAGTCAATATAAACATTTGCTTTAACATTATAATGCATTTTTTATCTAGTAAACACCGCGCCGGCCTTCTGGGATTCCTTTGGTAGCAAGATCCAGTCCCCTCCCCAAATTAGTTCCCAGACTTCTTTCAGTTCCACGAGACAAGAAGCGCGAAAGTACGAAAGTTCAAAGTTGTGTTTTAGGATTCTTTGAGTCAGCAATATGTCCTTGAAAAAGTAATATTTGTTGTCTAGGTCATTATAGGTTTGGTGTTGTGAAAAGATGATTATATAGGCATAAAAATGGTAAGTTTGTGAGTTATTTAGCTTTGAAATGAAATGTTGTTTGGGCCGYTTCAAGTTGACGAATATTTGACGAACATGGCGCGCCSTCTAGCTCTCATCTTCTTCCATGTGAACATAATTTTACTACCTAATTAGCGGAGATCAAGTGCTCCGAGCCAGATCCTTAAGAGAAAACAAGTCGATAATGATGGCGAGACGAATGCCAGGCGAAAACAGGTGATTTGTTCATGTTTGTTTTTGCCATAGTTAATTATATTAACTATATTAACTATGTTTTTGCTTATAAACTTGATTTGTGTGGTACTGTTGTGTGGCTTATGGTAAATGTCTGCGGTACATGTACATTCTAGATTCAATGCAGTTTCACCAACACAGCATTTATTCAGGTGCATTGTATTCTTTATGATGTTATAAATGTGTACAAGATGATATGTAAAAGATGAATTTAAAACTGACTTCTCGATCTCGATCTTCACAGAAAATCAGCCAAGATGAAGAACCCCCATCCAGTCAATACATGTCAAACTATAGAAAGCCTCTCACTCCATTGCATGAAGCGAACACTGGCATGTCATCTGGACTGTCTGCTCATGTTAGTATGGAAAAGTTCTATATCACCAGTAATTGCAGCAATCTATAGTCATTATTAAGTAATGGTCCGAGTAAAAAGCAGGCAAGCAAACGGCAATGGAATGCAGGAAGGTGCTAATTGTATAATCCATCCATCTCATTGGTTGAAACATTAAAATCTGACATAATTTCAAAAGTAATTGCATCTTTTAATATTTTATTTAATATCTGATTCCGACTTCATAAAAGCTTTCCTTAGCTTCAATATTTTAATATTTTGCTATTAAAATAGCAATTCTATGTAGTGGGGAACATAGCAAATTAGAAGCATCTTTTGGTAATTGTTTTGAATGCTTATGATTGGACAAGATCTTTTAATACAAAAGAAACTTTGTTTCAAGACAGAGTTTATCCACATTTTATTTTAAAAATGTGTTACCCATAGGTTGATATATAATCAGTGTGAAGACCAAGACATTCGTATGTGGGGAAGTTGCAATTGTCACAGAACAATAGAAAGTTGCCTGCTTTTTGCGCGCATTGTTACTTAATAAGGCCGACATTATTATGTCGACATTATATAAACCAAAGACTTTTGGTGCTACTGATAATATTACCTTATGTAAATAGTGACAGTAGTCTCCAGGGGGTTTTCAGGTTTGTCAAAGGAGGGGAGGGGGGTTATCTTTAAGGCGTTAAAGGAGGGTCTACTAAAAGCTTTATCTACATGTTTACATGAAGCATGGATAATAAAAAGCACTCTGGAGACTACTGTCACTATTTCTAAGTGTTCACTAAATGACATCTGTGTGTTCAGACTACACAAGACTGTTTCCATTTCTGTTAGTAATCACACAAGTCTGCATCCCTTTTTTAAAAGTGCACACATTTGTTGTTGGTTTTTTAACAATATTTATTAAAAACTCTTKATAGGAAGCCATGATAAGAAGCATTTTGTCCAAACCTTTCAAAATCCCAATGTCAAACTATGAACAAGGTAAACACCATATTCAAATTTACACTAAGCAAAATTGATCTCCAGTCCTCTATATCACTCACTCTTCACCATGTAGTAGCCAATCTCTGCTAAGAGACCATTTTGAAAAGTCCAAGAGAGACAGCTTAAAGGCCAAGTTTGCACCATTATGCTTTGTGCACCTCGGTTATTGTTATGATTTACAACAAAATACTTCCAGTATCCAAATATTACCATAAAATGAATGTTAGAAGGTTTAAAACTCTAGTATTAGCATTTAAAGTGCTTAGAAAAGTGAGATGGTCAAAGATTTGAAATGCACAGTACAATTTATAGACTTTTGGTAAACTGAAAATGGCCGCCTCTAGGCCCTTGAGGCCCCCAAAGCATAATGGTGCACACTGGGCCTTTAATAGATCAATCACTGACTGTAGATCATTGTACTCTGGCATATATAGTCGATTGACAAAAGGTGGTTGTCAACTGGACTTGGTAGCACACGACTAACCCAAACAGGTTTCTGGGTAAAAATCATTGAACTGTTTCAGCTTTTATTCTCTTTTTTTAGAAGGGACACAATGAACATTGTATTCCCCACCATGATTGAAAATGAATACAATTATGTGAGATGTAAAAATCAACATCACATGCATGCATGATTAAATTCCTGTGATTTGGAAATATTTATCACACATTATGTGTTTAACTTAGTTCTTCCAATCACAGGGCGTTCAAATCTCTAATTTTCCAGGTCATTGAATTTTACCCAGAAACCAGTTTGCGCTAGTTGTGTTTCATGAAACCCATTCGGCGACAACCTTTTGTCAATCGACTGTATAATATAAAATATGAACAACAATATATGGTAGTTGAGCAATAATCATGACTAAGCTTAATTATGTTTGCTTGATACACTATGAAAAGAAAGCTGATTGCATTTAATGCTAGTTTAGTCACTGAAAGTGTCCTTGAGTGTTAGTCTTTGCTCAATTCCCAGTTCTGATGACAAAATAGTTAGAGACAGTGAGACTTGTGTGAAAACTTCCAAAGTTAAAATATCAGACTGAACATAATATTATAAAATGAAATTTATTGTTATACTCTATAAGGGTCATCACGTCGTGGTCTTGGCTTGAAGAGGAAAGGTCCTAAAAGATCTCTTCATGACCCATTTGAAGAAGATGCTTTGGTTTTATATGAACCACCACAGCTATCTGCACATGAACAACTGACTGCAGATTTGTAAGTACGATCTGTTGTGACTCTTTTTATAGCAGTTTTTTTATAGCAGTTTTTAGCCATTTTTAACCAGCCTTAGAGATTCATGTTTCATCACTTCTAACAAAAATATAAATATTTCTTGATTTTTATAATTTATACAATTAATAATTTTTTTTTTTCAGAGAAAAACAGGAAGTTCATGGTGAGTCTATCAAAGACAGTGTTCTTTTTTTTTTGCTGAGAACTTCCAAACTTATGGGTACATGAAGTGTCATTGAAAAATGTTTTTTAATTATAACTTTTGCAAGACTTGTCCACATCTAGGCCAGGTTATTCAAAGCCCAATTAGTGCTAATCCTGGCTGGTTAACTTTTGAAAACCTGATGGAGTTAACCCTGGATTACAGTCATTATAATATGGTTGAATAAAATTGTGCAGTTTGATTGGCTTAGAGGAGTGGTATTTATCCTTAATAGTGGTATTTCAAATTGCACAATTTTATTCAACCATTTTATAAACAAATAAATTATCTATCTCGCTTCGCTCATGAAATTTTGTTTGACAATTTTGAAATATCACGCGTGGTATTTATCCCAAATACCACTACAAAACATGCTGTTACCTACATGTATACAAAGACATGAAGCACGCCTCCCAAATAGTTCGCTATTCAATGCATTATTGGATTTTTCATTTTATATTCGTTTTCAAACTTCAGTTGATAATGCAAAATTAAATTCAATCTTGAACTCCGATAATGACAGAAAACATACAACACAGCATTTCCACCTTTTTGAGACCGTCATTCCTTTCTCACGAGAAGGAACAGATCCAACCAAATCAACAGCATATTGCAATGCATCGACTTGTGTAAATTACAAAAGGTCAACATGTTTACATTTGGTTAATACTGTATGCATAGAGCAGACACAGGAAAACCATGAAATAAAACCAAACTATAAATACTAACAAATAGCGGCTAATTAGAGACAATTTGTCAGTATCAATGAACCAGAACACAATGAAGGTGAATCTGGGACCATTTTTCATTCATCTTCATTGTGTTCTGGTTCATTGATACTGACAATAATTGTCTCTAAATAGACACTATTTGTTAGTATTTAGTTTGATTTTATTTCATGGTTTTCCTGCGTTTGCTCTACCTCAATTTCTCAAAAACAGCCTTTTTTAAATACACGAAACCAGGATTCATAGTGATGATTAAGCTTACACATTTATTCCTGCAATGTGTAGTCAAGTGAACAATGAAGGACAATGTAATTTGTAGTTTTCGAGGTGACAATTTACAGAAATTTTGNTTCTTTTTCAGAGAAAAACAAGAAGTTCATGGTGAGTCTATCAAAGAAAGTGTTCTTTTTTTTGCTGATCACTTCCAACTTATGGGTACATGAAGACGTCATTGAAAAATGGTCGCTTTTAATTATAACTTTTGCAAGACTTGTCCACATCTAGGCCAGGTTATTCAAAGCCCAATTAGTGCTAATCCTGGCTGGTTAACTTTTGAAAACCTGATGGAGTTAACCCCTGGATTACAGTTCATTATAATATGGTTGAATAAAATTGTGCAGTTTGATTGGCTTAGAGGAGTGGTATTTGTCCTTAATAGTGGTATTTCAAATTGCACAAAATTATTCAACCATTTTATAAACAAATAATAGCATGTTTTGTACGTGGAATTTGGGATAAATACCACTTGTGATATTTTAAAATTTGTCACAAATTTTGTTTGACAATTTTGAAATATCATGCGTGGTATTTATTTTATTTATCACATCAACCACAATAATGTTAGTGTTGATATTCAATATTTATGGTTGAGGAAAAGACATGGACAAATGTCAAAAAAAGGAAAAACATCAAAAATCTACTTCTAGTGCAAGCAAGTAATTATGACGACCATGTAGAGTGATTAATTGCCATTTGACTGGTGAATACATGTATATGCCAGGGTGTTACTATTAGTGTGTAGCAATGAGGTGTACATGTACATGATTGTGTGCCATCCAAACCCCCAGGATTAAATTTAATAATAAATATTAAAGAGTAGATTGATCATGTTCCTTCTGGGCAGCAGGCAATAGCCGTACACAGCACTGCTGGGCATGAAACATGTGTTCATGCATAGTCTTGTCCGCTAGGAGAAGATATTCTGAACAATAACTTGTTTACAACTTACTCAGGATATATTTAGCCTGACCACTAAGATTGGTAGATAATGATTCCTCTCTGTCAATCAATACCCCCAGAAATGGCCGCTAAGATGATGTTTGGTTAATACTGTATCATCATCATCATGGCGGCCTCAGCCGAGCCTCACGTCTGGAAGACCAATCCTGGCAGTTCAAGATACATGCGGAAAGCTCGGCTGAGGTGGTCGCGCCCGTGTCCTCCCCCCGTGTTGAAATTCAACATAATACTGTATGCATACCTCAATCTCTCAAACACAACCTTTTTTTAAATACATGAACCAGGATTCATGGTCAGATGATTAAGCTTAGACTTTGTTTCAGTCTGGCTTTTTCATAATGTTTAGAATTATTTCATGAAAAAGGTTGCTTGGGAGTACAAATTACAGTACCCCTTTAATATACTGTCAGTATAAAGTAAATGGCCACTGAGAGATGACGTTTGGTTAATACTGTATAGAGCAAACACAGGAAAACAATGGAATAAAACCAAACTATAAATACTAACAAATAGCGTCTATTTAGAGACAATTTGTCAGTATCAATGAACTAGAAAACAATGAAGGTGAATCCACATGGGTTGGGACCATTTTTCATTCATCTTTATTGCGTTCTTCGAGGTGACAATTTACAGAAATTTTGAAAACCATAATATTAGTTTTTTATTGATACTATACGATTTATGTAATTACTAATACCTAAGCCAGAGACAACAACTTATTTACAATCTCCATAACGTTTTTTGGGTAGCACTGTGTATAATTGTAACTCTTCCTGGTTATTTATAAATAACAACTTGACTCTAATCACTAACTGCATTGACAGTTACTTAAAACATATTAATAAGTGTTTTTGTACATTGATTAGTTGTAGTTGATCCTGTACTTGGGAAGAAGCTCAGACCACATCAAAGAGAGGTACGCTTAATATTACTGATCTTGTCAACCTTTTTTAGTAAACTACATGTAAGAATGATTTTGCCAAACCATGCTTGCCACATATAGTCAGTGATATTTGTTCTGACACGTTAAATAATTCCTTTGATTTCTATACAATCATCAAGTTTTATATTTTTAGGGAGTCAAGTTCTTGTATGATTGTGTTACTGGGAGGAAAATTGAAGGAAGCCATGGCTGTATCATGGCTGATGAGATGGTATGTACATACATTGTACAGTCAGTGGCTGATAAACAATGTTATGAATAAGGGTGACTAAAACCAATAGACCAATCCCGAATTCGTTTGGATGAACACGAAAAAATGGCTTCATTTCGAGGCTGGAGTTTTATCTTTTGTCAAAAACTCGAGCCTCGAAATGAAGCCATTGTTTGGTGTTCATCCAGGCAAGCGAATTCGRGATTGGTCTATTATATTTTTTAATATATTTTTATCTGGTAAGGCATCTAAAAAAGGTACATGATTGTACGTTTAGATCAGTCTGTTGAAAATTATATGAAATTTCTTTCAGGTGATAAATCCTGCTTTGTTTTTCAGGATGAGTCCCATTCAGAGTTAAATTTCTTTTTTTATTTAATTAATTATTTTTCTCTTTCTATATTAAATTTTCTGAACCCTACTGAATTGGGATGGCTAACCACAATAATTTAATATTACTCCTTATAGGCTCGCCAAACACAATTTAAAACTTTCAAAGGACCTCAAAACTCTTGAAAGGAATTAATTGAACAGATCAAACCCATGGGAATTGCATTTACTAGGCTTGACATCTGAAGGGTGGCTGCAAGCTAAGACAGCTTTTCACTGTTGTACCTCTTTTAAAATTAAAATTAAAATACTTTTATCTTTTATTTGTAGGGTCTTGGTAAAACTCTTCAATGCATTACTTTGGTCTGGACTCTATTGGTAA